CAGTAAACAAAAGTTTGACTTAGCAGTTTTTACAGCATCTTTTCCATCCTGACTTTTCTTCTTGTCTTTACCTTCTTTAAGTTTTTCTCTTCCAAATGGATGGATTCAAGACACCCATATGCAATACAACCACCATTGTTGAAGTCCTATCATTTTGTTTAGTGAAATTCGGTATCATTTGTAATGTTTTAACCATTTTTGTATTATCTTTAAAAAAAATAAAACAAAAACAAACAAAAAATAACAGAAACCCCAAGTAGATGTATTCATTTCCTTGGGTTGTCATAGCAGAGTTCCAAAAGCTGAACGACTTAACAGCACAGAATTTTATGCTTTCATAATTTGATATCCAGAAGTTCACAGTAGGGGCCGGGGAGATGGCTCAGTGGAATAAGTGCTTCCCTGGAAAGGGCAAGGGCCTGAGTTCAATCCCCAGTTCTATCAATAAAACAAAACAAAAACGAAAACAAAAACAAAAACAAAAACAAAAACAAAAAGGAGAAGTTCGCAGTAAAGGTGTTAACAAGGTCTTGCTCCCTCTCTATGTTTAGGAAAGTCTGTCCTTGTCTCTTTCTCGTTCTGGACAGCTCCCTGCAAGCTTTGGTTCACACTCTTGCTATCATTTGCCCTCCTGGTCGATGCTGGTGCTTTTATTTATGGCATTAATTATATCTGCTTCCTGCTGAGGTCGTAGTCTCGTGCTGTGGATGAACATGAGTACAGGGAGTATATTCTTAGGAAATGGACACCAGGAAGGTTTATGCCAAGTATCTCTGTGTTCATGGCCTTTGTCAGAGTTCTCAGTGTAGTCTTTGCTAAAGCTTGTTAGGACAACACCACTCAGAACTCTTAATTGTTGCAGTTTTGAACTACGTCCATATCCAAATTCATTACTAAGCCAGGATGACAATTAGCTCGCCCTAGATGCAGCACACCGTCCTCCTGCTTGGTCAGGGTGCTCTGCACTCGGATGTACTTGGTCTGCGTGTACCCAAGGGCAAAAGTTACTTTGTGGAAAGAACCAGCAAAAAGAAGTTTCCTAGAGTTTTATAGCAGGTTGTCCATAAACTTCTTTTCCTTTTGTCTATCAAATAAAAACAATTAAAGCATATATTATATAATGTCTTACA